AGGATTTTCTACGGTTCACAGATGCATGGTTTCATGTGCAAGACTGATTTATAAAGTTATGAATGACTTGAAAACAAGGCTTCACTGTGTTCTGAAAAATAATAAATTAATTGCCAAGATAAAATAGGCTGAACATGTGTTGATGGAGTGTGAAATTTTAGATGCTGTATAAAGAATAACCACAACTTTGGTTACGCAGCAAGTCAGATATGGCTTTTTATATCATGCTAATCAAGATTCCAAGTATGGAAGAGAACCTTTCAGCCAAGCCATTGGGGCTGAAGAAACCTTTAGCCTTTATAGATTTAACTGCCCATACCTCCGTGGCCTTGAAAGGATCTTTCAAAGTGTTATTAGAATATTGCTTTGTAAAAATGATCTCTGAAGTAATCAGGAGATGACATGTTGATCATTCTATGTTTATTCTTTAAAAGGAAACTAATTTAGCATGTATATACAATGAATTTTAGAACTTATTCAATATGGGAATTGATTTACTGACTACCTGATTTACTTGAACACTTTTTTCTCATTTTGAAAAGTTCAGAACACTGTAGAAAATTATGAATTTTTATTTATTGTTCCTTGGGCTTGAGTGTTGTATTTTAAATATGGGCAGGTTTTTACATTAGAAGAAAAAGATCTAAGGAAGAGTTAATTGTTGAAAATTAAACTCAGAGTCTTTGCGAAGTACCTTGTGTAACATTTCTGACGAATTTTGTCTATTCTTTGAAACAATATAGCCATCATAGATTGTGTATATGTGTGCTTGTATGTGAATATATAAAAGATTGATTAAAACAGTGTTTAAATAGTTGGAAATTACCATAAAATCATTTTTCTCTGTTAACATTTTCCTGTTCTTTCATTATCACATCGTCAAATCCCATTTCTAGCCTTTGAACATAAAAGATATTTTTAAAATGTCTTTTTTTTTTAAATAGGCTAGCTCTATTCAGTGAACTGAATAATGTAGATTTTATCTTTATCCATTATACTAAACATGTTAATTTATGATGATGAGAAAGACTCTTGATCATTCTTTATAATCATAAAAAAAATTGGAGTAACTTGTTTTGAGCTTGACCTATGAAAATGCTGGTCTTGTATTTTTATCATATATAATAAAAGGGTCTATGTATATCTTTTGGGGAGAGATTCAGATTCCAAGGATTTTGTGCAAAATAAAAACTACATTTATAAACCCAAACATTAAGCTTAAAGCTGAGGCTTTTTGTGCATTTCTAAATCTACTTTGAAAGTGAAAACAAAGGTTATCCCCAGTGCTGTGCTTTTTCAGATGGAGCTTTGGGAATGCCATTTATTCATAAACTATACTTGGGTTTTATCTCTATAGCATTCTTTCATGAACTAAAAATAAAATAGTGACCTTCTAAAACATTCTGAACTATATGCTTTGTTTGTAAAGTCGTCTCCTTTAATTTGCCGTGAATTTTTAGATAGTTACGTGACTCTGCTAAAGCCGTTACATTCCTTTTCACACCATTATAGAAGGTACCCGGAAGACTAGTACAAACACACACATTTTCAATCGCTTAAGTGTTTTTCTAGATTTTCTCAGAATATGTACATTTGTAATTGTTGAAAATGGGAACAACATAGTTTTTAGAACTCTTTAAAAATAACTTTAAAAAGTTAAAGTAGTGGGGCCAGCTGGTGGCATGGCGGAGCCCACGTGACTGGCTATGCAGTTCATGTCCTGGACCCAGCGCTTGAAAACACACCGGGCACATGTGTGTGCATGCCCAAAGGTCCTGAGGGGAGAATGGAGGAGGGATTGTAGTGTGGCTGTCAGCTCCGGGGCTTGCTTTTTCACCTCCTTTCCCTGCACGTCTTGCACAAGCCCTATATCAAAATTTAAAAAAAAAGAAAAGAAAAGGTAGGAAATGTAGTAAGAACAGTGCTGCTTTAATGAACTTGAGCCTTTTATTTTTGTATGTATCCCTCTTTGCCCTCAACAGTCATGTAACTGACAGAAATTTTATTTGTTAAAGGAAAATAATTCTTTATTATAGTTTTAATATTGAAGATAATCCAGGAAAAAAAACCAACTTGATTTTAACTTTGTTCAGATGTAGTAGAGAGGTATGACTTAGAGAAATGAGACAAGGGGCCAATTTCCAAAGGTGGATTCCGAGGGAGAAGAATTTGCGGGATACGTTCTTTAAAAACTAATCATTGAGATATAGTCAAAGATAGCCTTTATTTTGTAGTATCTGGTAAAATGGGACCCCCGCCCCTAGGGTGAGATCGTAAATAAAGACAACTTGAGTCAAGAAAACGTAGTTATTTACTGAATATTAACTCATAAGTAGTTTAAACATTTAATCATCCAATTTTAGACCACTGGCAGGACATCCGATCCAGTCTCCTTACTTTATAGAAAAGCAGCCTGAGAGTTCTGACTCAGATGAAGAAGGCAGCTGGAAGTATCTCAGTAGGGAACTAGTGAGTGTTTTGTAGGAAAATAACAGGCCAGGCGTGTGGCAAAGGTGGCACCTAAGACTTAGGGAAAGTGACAGCTAGAGTGGGCAGGAAACTTTCCCGGCCAAGTATCAAAGTTCGTTCTTTATTGAGGCAAGTCAAAGGCCAGGAGAACTGAAGGGTGAAAATGAAGGTTCCCCTTCCAGGGGGGCTAATCTGTTAGGTGAATCTGGAGGTTATTTCAAGACACAGTTTCTGTAAAGGAGTAAGAAGTTCACCAAACTTGGAAACTGTTCAAGTCAAGTTAATTTTTTGATCAGCATCCGCTCCATGCAGAGTTAGAGCAGGGGAAAGTGTTGACTGTAATTTAGGACAGTTCATGTTTGGAATGAAAATGAGCCCTGGTCAGCTTGGGTATTTCTATGTTACTGTGCTTTGTAACTGCTTTGCCTTTAGTTTCCTACACCTTGAAGCAAATTTTAACCATTTTGCTAACCTAAGAGGATAAGAACTTCTAAAAAAAATGAAGAGGCAAAGGACCTAACGCCCTTTATCTAGATATCAAACGTCCTGGTATCATAAATGAGAGCACCCCTAGACCTTAGAGAGGACCCACAGAATTGAATGTGGTGAAAGGCAGGAAACACCAGGTCGGCTGCAGTCGTGCGGGACAGTAGAAAAGCCTGCCTTCGGAGAACGGGCAGCTGTCTGTTCCGATACCAACAGCACCGTTCGTGACATGGCAGCTTCTTGGATCATTGGCTTCCTCCTCTGTGAGATGGGCATGATGAAACTTGCCTTTTGTGCAGTTAGCTCAGTAAGTGTTTGCCCCCTTGTGCCTCCGAGCACATGGGCACGCTCACCGGCGTGTTAGGGTGAGCACTCCTCCATTCACCGTTTCAGACTTCGGTGGTTTTACTACTTGTTTGTCCTCCTCTTCAGAGCTCTGAGATATTTTGTGTATTTTATAAAAGTCCAGAAATCAAAAGAACAATTTTCCATGATGGTGCCCTATCACCAGATAAATACCTGTTTTAATAATGTAAAGTTGTGAGGCCAGCAGGTAGTATGGTAATTATGGTACTGGACTCCCACATTGCTGACCACAGTTCGAGTCCTGGATCTGGTGGCTTGAAAAGTCATGTGTGTGTGCACATGCCCGAAATCCCAGGAGAAGAATGGTGCAGTGGGATTGTGATGTGGCCATCCTCCCCACTCCCTGGGGGTGAGTTCTCACTCTCTCCTTTCCAGCGAACACATGCACCTTCTGGCAAAAATATTTAAAAACAAAAGTTAAAGAGAAATATTGTAAAGTTGCCGTTCTGAAATGTGAATAGATTTTCAAAATTTTTAAGTGATGAATGTTACTGAAACTTTAAGATAAAAATCTACTTAATGTTTAAAGAACTTTTTCTTCTCTTTTTACAGGTCATCCTCATAGAATTTTTACCAAAGACACCGATTTTTCGACCAGATTAGCATTTACTTTATTTATAGAGACTTTCCAAGTATGTTGTCTTTCCAATGGTGCCTTGCTTGGTGCTCTCCGGTGGTGACATAGCATTGGTTCTACAGGATCGTGTGGTGTTTTTTTTTTTTTTTTTTTTTTTTTTCTTTTTTTTCTTGTTTTGTTTTAAATAACCGCATGTTCTAAGTGTGCATTTTTGTCAAACTTTGCAACAGTTATTTCATACAGATGTTTAATACTTAAGTTATTGTGCTTTTTTCTTTTATGTATTCTGATTTTCAAGAATTACTTTTTTGTATTATCAAAAAAATACATTTGAACTTAGCATAAAAAGTGGCCAGCCTTTTTTATTTTATCACTAAGGTCCACACAGTCCTTTATTTATAAATTCCTGAACATAGGAAAACACCTTTGTAAGGCTCTGTTTATCTATCTTGCAAGCACGCTGTATTATTTTTATCTTTCTTTTAAAGTTAACATAGTAGCTTTTGGGAGCCTATCATACAATTCCTAATGCTCTGTTTACAGTAGCTAGACCTGTAACATTAAGAAGACCTATGAGAATTTCTGGAAGTGTTTCTGTCTTCGAAGGTAGTGAGCAGGATGGCGTTGTTGTTAGGGTAGACCAGTCAGCGAGCGGTGTGCACGCCTCTGTTGGTTACCAGAGCTCAGGATCACAAAAGACAGCCTCACAATCAGTGTATATTTTTGATCAAGATGATCTTAATAATGGCCTTACTTGGGTTATTTTTATTGTTTATCAAATATTATATAAAAAATGCGGAAGCATTCCTTTTAAAAATTTCTAAGGAAAATATTTCTCCCAGTCTAACACAACTGTAGAATGGGCGTGTGTTTCTGGAAAAGTTTTCCAAACAAAGCAAGAGTTCTGGAATAAAAAGAGAGCCAATGTGTAGTATCCACTGATATCCAGAACAGATGTTCACCAAGAAACGGAGGATGTGTTCAGAACTGGTTTTCTCCACTAGCTCGCTTTCAGTCCAGTTATGTTGCTTTTTAACTGAGAGTATGACATGTTCGAATCAATTAGTCCGTTTCTTAAAACACACACAATTTTTTTTTTTCATTTTGGTTGTACATAACGCCATGCATTTTAAAACTTTTTAGATTTCTGAATGGCCTATGTGTAACTTTTTGTTTTTGTAAGCCTGAAATTATACAAGTTTAATGTGTGTCGGGAACTTGTTCCATACAACTGTGGTATCGAGCAATAATGTGAATAACTTTTGAAATTATATGAACTATGCGTAATTTGTATTAAGAATTGGTACCACTATAAAATACCTTTATTCCTTGTATTAAATCTTTTACATACCAATTTCATTAATTTATATACCTGTATTTTTAAAAAGTATTTCTTTGTACTTCTCCAAAGTACTGTAATTCTATATAAATTGAATAGTTAAATGCCAGTATCTTATATCCTATATCCTATATTGGACATTAGGAACTATCTTAAAAACTAGGATTTAAAAAAAAAATTTTTTGTCTCAGAATTATTTGTTCCTGTTGCCCCCCCCCAATAACTTGAATTTATAGAACACTTTTCCTGTGAAAAGCTCAAAAGTACAAAGAATTCAAATACTTCTCACTTATTTAACTTGTGTCTAGGTTGTGTCCTACCACCTTCAATTAGTGCAATTAAAAATAATGACATTCAAACACTCCAGTATCCCTCTGTGGCTTCAGTGTGAAAATGTTACATCTTCCTACAGTGCTTATAAGTACTTCAGGGTTCCAAAAGAACAGAAAAATGTGACTGCGTAGACTATGCGACACAGTGTTCCTGGTTTAAAACTGCTCACATTTACAGAGCCTCGTATTGATCAGCTTTATAAGAAATTCTCTGTTTAGACATCATTATTCTTCTATTTCAAGTCTTCTGTCAATCATAATTTTAAAATTACTGTATATCTGCGAGCCTGTTTTAATAGTATGTTATTTTCATAATTGATGATATTAAGTACAGGATTTTAAAAAAGCTTTTCTAATTTTATCGAAGAGTCCTTAGAAATGTGCACTCTTAGGCTTACATGCAGAGAGAGCAGCGTGAAGGTGACACAGGTGGCGTCGTCAGAGGTCAGGTATGCCTGGAGCAGCGGGAGCTCCACGCTCAGGTGTCATCGTAGCCTCCCTCACAACTAGCTTGTCCTTTCTCGAATGTAAGTGCCATGTTTCTGGAGATGAGAAATGTTGGCGCTGTCCGGGGGATGTGGGCATCAGACCAAAGACGTGTCTAAGTGATGATTGTTCCCCAGCTCCTGCTCTCTGACTTCAAGATGGGGAGACATGGACCCCAGGCATTTTTTAAACTGGCCAACAAAAGATATCATTGGCAGAAAAATGTAGCGTATAAACTTTACTTAGGCTAAGTCAACAACATAGGATCTTTTTTCTTTTTAAAATACATTATTGGCATTTTTCTCTTTGTAAAGACTCTTTAGTGGGACCAGCAGTTAGCGTAATGACTATGTCTCTGAACTCCCATGTACTCTCGAGTCCCAGACCCGGTGACTTAAACTCACGCTGGGCGCGTGTGTGTGCATGCCCAAGATCCCAAGAGGAGAATGGAGGGGAAGGGATTGTGGCATGGCCATCCCCCAGGGGGTGATTTCTCGCTTTCTATCTCTCTCTCTGTCTTTCTGGCGAGCACACGCACCCTATAGCAAAAACCTCTCAAAACAAAACAAAACAAAACAAAAAAAAGACACTTTAGTGACTAGATTTCATTCACTTAAAATATAAATGTGTAGTTTTGGCCGAAAATCACCAAAATAAGTTCAACAAAACCTTGACTAATAGTAAACAGTTATTTCCTTTTCTTACTAGGAAAGTTAATTTTTTTTTTTTTTTTGAGAGGTTTTTGCTATAGGGCACGTGCGCTCTCCAGACAGACAGAGAGACTGTGGAGGACTACATGGGAGTCCAGCAACATAGCCATTACACGGATTGCTGGTCCCAGGAAAGTTAATTTTATAGTTCAATAATTTTTTTTTTTTTGGAGAGGTTTTTCGCTATAGGGCGCGTGCGCTCGCCAGACAGACAGAGAGACAGAAAGCAAGAAATCACCCCCCAGGGGGGATGGCCACGTCGCAATCCCTTCTCCTCCATTCTCCTCTCAGGATCTTGGGCACGCACACACATGCGCTCGGTGTGAGTTTAAGCCACCGGGTCTGGGACACGAACCGCAGTTGACGACGTGTGAGTCCAGCGACATAGCCATTACGCTAACTGCTGGTCCCATAGTTCAATAATTTAAAAATGGAATGAACTACACATTTTCCCCATGGCTGTGTTTTCAGTGTTTCTTATAAAGAACTTCTGACGTTTGTATTTATTAGTAGACACAGGCCAGCCCTCTAAAACTTCTCCCATTGTTGTGAAGAATGCTCTTAAACAGATCAGCGGCTGCAGGTGGGCCCACAGGGGTGCGCGCTGGCTGCACTGGCTCTGTGTAACGTTGGTGCGTAGTGAGGCCTTGCCCTTCAGTGGCGTCTGTCTACAATTGCTACCCTCAGTTGCGTGCCTTTGTGTCCCTGTACATGTCCGCTTTGGCTTGGTGTCACAGGTCATTACTGCTAAACCAGAAGTGCACCAGAATGTGGCGTGTTTACCGGTCTTTGACTGGACTCCAGCATCTCATACTGGACCCCCTTTCCGTGGATCGTTTTGCTGTCCTCTTAATGTCCAGGGCCTCACCCAGGCCTGGACATAGTTCAGAATTGCCTCTACCATTCGTTCTTCAAGCTCCCGGTAAGGCTTTAACGTCTTTGTATCCTGAGACGCGTAGACCAAATCAAAGTGAGTCACAGTAAGTGATAAATGACTGACACCAATCCTACTGGGGTAGCACTTGCCTTTGGGAGGCGGTTTTACCGGTGCGCGTGGCGTTCCCCTCCCGAGCTCAGACTTGGAGGGGACAGTATGGTGGTTGGGCACAGGGCTGCTCACACCATCGTTTCTGGAAGAAGCCGATAAACTCACGGCCGGTTCTCAATGAGACTGTTAATTAGCGCACAGTAGTTGGTTTAAATATTCAGCCCTTTTTATTATATTTTTAATGTATTTTTAAACTTTGTTTCTGCTGTGAGCAAGAGAAAGAGGCAGGTACTCTCATCCCGGTCTTGAGTGTGCGTACAGCCATCGCTATGGCCCCAGCCAGCTCTGAATCAGGCATGCACAGGCCTGGCGTGCTTAAGGAAGCCTTTGGACAGGAACCCAGAACTTTCCTGTGTGGACTGGCCTTGCAGAGCATGACACTATACCTCTATGCCACTGTCCACCCCATAGCTTTTTAAAAACAAGATAAAATAACTCTTAGTATTTCATTTATGTAATTAGTTACCATTAATGTCTTTAGGAACGTACCTTTTGTGTAAATTGACACTCGAAAGATGCTGTGAAGTTTCTACCATGACAGACAGGGACTCCCCAGCGGCGTATCGTCACTCCACACGGTCTCCCCCACATTCCCCCATGCCCCAGCCAGGAGCCCAGGTGTATGCGGCACATCCAGGTCTACCTGGGATCCACATGGCCTTTCCACATGAGTCTGGTTCTGGTTCTGTGCCCAGCTGCCCGCACCAGCACAGGCTGGGCCTCCAAGGACGTCCACAAACCCTGAGTTGCCCTGTTCTCTGCTTCTACACAGACTTTTAGTCCGTCACTGGCGAGAAGCCGAAATGTTTATGTTATTGATCACAAGTCTGCGCTTGTTTCTGTAGTGGGGATGACGGTGAGGAGCGCCTCCTCCCGCAGTGGCACAGTGAGCCCCCAGAGGTTGCGCGTAACCTCCATAGGGAATGCTGAGAGCAGAAATTGAGGATGCTGATTTCTGCAAGACTGCCTAATTACTTGGCCTCTATGCTTTTGTCTTCATTTCCGAACAGGAGGATAAATACCTCGGGGTGCTGTGAAAGAATACTTCGCAGTCACTTGTCTTCCTGCTGCTCACTGACCCTGTGTACAAGTAGGTCGCTAGGTATTCCAGTGCGGTGCTCGGGTACCTTTTCCGACTTACTTCCCAAGTCAGCACCAACCTGAGTTACCTTCTGTTACTAATGCGTTTAAAATGGAAGAGATTGGGCACTCCCCATATGCACTTATAGTAATGTTTTGTGTGTTTAAAAATTGGGAAAATACCTGAGAAGTTTCTTTATGAGACCTTTTGAAATATAGTTACACCTGAGCTATTTATGCAAAATCATGCCTTTTTAAAAACATTCTCTACTTTATAAATATGGTGCTCTGAAATAGAGTTGACTGCTTTTTTTTTTATGAAAAACAGATAATGTACGGTTTACTTAGCTCTCTCTCCTTTTTTCTAAGTAACACATTACTTTTAATTGATCTCTGACAAAACTACTCAGGGACAGCCGTTACACCTGAGCTATTTATGCAAAATCATGCCTTTTTAAAAACATTCTCTACTTTATAAATATGGTGCTCTGAAATAGAGTTGACTGCTTTTTTTTTTATGAAAAACAGATAATGTACGGTTTACTTAGCTCTCTCTCCTTTTTTCTAAGTAACACATTACTTTTAATTGATCTCTGACAAAACTACTCGGGGACAGCCAGTAAGTAACCCTGTCGGCCTCTAATCTGCTAGAGCCATGTCCTGAACAGCCCCAGGAGCTGCGTACGTGGCCTTGTCATATCAGCCACGGGCGCGCCAGTGTGGGTCCGTGTGCCGGCCCCCAGACCCAGTCTCCCCCGGGCCACACGGTCTCAGCACGCTCTCGCGGTGTCTTCCTTGGAAGCCCTGCTGCTGCGGCCCGGCCTCCCCTGGGCCTTGATTGAGGTCCAGTGTCCATGCAGCTCTGTTTGCTTTACACAGCTGCTGGTTGCTAATGGCTGTGGGTAAACAGCACCTCCTGACCTGTGGCGTGGTCCCGAGTTGCTCAACCGCCCCCGTGTCTCACGCCCAGTCTGAACGTGACTGCCAGGAGCGTGCGGGAGTGCAGCAGGAGTCCGTGAGGCCCGGGATGCCCTGGCAAGTGGCCTGCCTTCCAGCTCTCAGAGCTGTTTCAATGAACCAGTCGCATCAGGTATTCTTCATCTTTGG